GCCAAAAACCACCTCCGTGAGCCCAGCGTGAGTCCTGAATGACATCGTGCCGTGTCTCCAAGGCCCCTTTACATCCGCCGTCACCCCACCAGCGTATCTTTGTGCAGTAAAAAAACTAACCCTGGTGGAAACCTTCCTGTTTAGCGTCCAAAGCAATAATTTGAAAACTTATCATAGGCCCAGATACCGGCGGGCGCTAGTGCGCCGCCCGCGCGGCTCCTTCCTCACAGCACCCCCTCTGCCCCGCAGCCCTCCTTTCCCCCCCACCCCCCACCCCCCCTAGGCGGCACCGGGCACTCTCGGGGTCTGGTCCCCCGGGGTCGGGCAGATCCCACTGGAGGCTGTTCCAGGTTCCCCAAGCCGGGCGCGCAGCTGCCTGCCCGGCCCGCGGCCGCTGGTGCCAGCTTCGAAGTGCCGTGATCTTCCCCCGTCCCGGGCCCGCGGAGGCCGTCCCGGAGCCTGGCTCGGCCGGGCCTTTTCCCGCCCGGACCTCCAGCAGCCCCGGTTCCACTGGGGCGGCGGCGGGCGAGGGCAGCGGCGCCACGCAGTGGAGGGAGCGCAGCGCTGCAGGCGGTTCGTCCTGCGCTCACCTGCCGCCGCCGCCGCCCGGCCGCGCGCCGGCTCCCGCCGCGGTTGGCGCGCCGTGGCCCTGACCCTTAGGCGGCCCCACGCCGCCCTGATTCCTCGCGCCGGCAGCCCCTCTCTCCTTGCCCGCTGCGAAGCCAGGGGTCCGCCACGGACCCGCTGCTTGCCTTCAAATCAGCAGAGTACCTTTGGGAAAGTTTCTCGCTCTCGCGGCGCGCTTTTCCATTTGCGGGACCACATAAAAGGGAAAAGGCAGGGATATTCAGCAACGTTTGTATCCTTCTAGGTATCCCATCCCAGCAAAACTGTGCCAAGTCCCGTCCTCTAAACAAGCAGGCAAAGTCACGAAGAGAAAGCCGCCGTCTTACCACGTGCGCCAGCCCGCTCCGCCTGCGCTCCGGCCGACCCCGCGGCCCCCGAGCCGACCACGGGCAAGACGACGCCTCGGAGGGCAGCCCGACGCGCATCTCCAGCCCTGAATCCGAAAGAGAGAGGGAAATGCGGAATTATGCAAATAGGGGTCGCCGCGGCGGGGCTCGGGTTACGGCCCCGTCGACCCCCTGCGGTGAAGCACCCACCGGCGGCGAGCGCGGGCGCGGCGACTGCCAGTGCTTCGCTCCTCGGCTCGCACGTGGGTGGGCAGGCGGGCGGGTTGCCGGGGCCGCCCCGCTCGGGAGCTGCTGCCAACCGGGCCGACAGCCGCCTCCCGCCCTGAGGGGGAGCTCCTGGATGCCCGGGCAAGCCGGGCACGGAGGGCAAGACGAGGCCAAAGGAAGCCAGAGCAAGTGGGGGGACCCAGGTCCCGAAGCTGAGTGGCGGGCCGATTGGAGGTGGGGGGTGGGGATGGGCACGGAGGAGGGGCGGGCTTATCCCGCCTGTCTCCGAAATCCAGTTAAAGTAAATGGGAGTGACTGACCTTCAGGAATTCTTCAGCGCTTCCCAAGCCTGACACCTCTCCTAAGAACCGCGTCGTGCCAAGCCCTGGGTGTGTTGGGGGTCGGTTGGGACAGGGGCAACTGGCAACTACTGGAGACCTTGGGGACCCGCCGGAAGGTGTCTGGGGCCAACCCTGGGAGGCCTGACCTGAACCTCCGCTGGAAACGGGTCAGTAGATACTTTCTGTGACTTGTTTTTTTAAGAGTATCTCTTGAAGTACAAAACAAAGCAAAGAAATCCAGTTTTTCAGTCAAGTTGATAAGACAGTGACCCTCAAAGGACGGAGCTAAACAACTTAATAGGTCTCCAAGACTTAAAATCTTTCCGCAGGTCGGTGTGTCTGTCTCCTATGGAGGAGATGTGCTTCCAAGCTCTTTAACCATGGTTCCAGCAGGGCTCCTTTCTCTTTAACTACAAACTCTTAATTTGGGGGGCCTCTCCCCCCACCACCTCCCCCGCGTGTGGGACAAAATCTAGGTGTTCATATGTCAAGCCAGCCATCCTACAGAGAGAAACTAGTTCAGAAAGCTAAAGAGACTTGCTGAAAGCCACGCAGCTGGTTAAAATGCTATATTCAAAATTGCAATGGGCTGTTCCAACTCTTAAGAACACTGTCCTGGGGGCTATATTGAGCACTCAGAAAAGCCTAGTTCCACACCTTGAACAATTCTTTGGGGTTTGGAAGCCCTATAGGGAAGAGGTGAACTCTGTCATCTCCTTTCTTAGACTTTTCTAAGAAAAGTCAGGCCAGGGCCTGGGAGAGGAGCTGTTGTGGACACTCAAGTCCCCAGTGTGAAGAGACCATCTGAGTTCTTGGTCTCTTGTGGAGAGTATGAGTTGACACTTAGTTGGCACAAGACCAGCAGACTAACAGGCTCAGTGAGAAAATAACCATCCCCACACTAACTTGGAGGGAAAAGGGGGATAGAGAAGAAAGACATGGGGACGAATGCAGACTTCCACCGTGTTCATGGGCATGATACTGTATTGGGGAGAGGGGGGAGGAGAGAATGGACAAGGGGGCAGTGAATACAAGGCTATACCATCATCTCTGCCTTCAAAGCACTGGAATCTGTTTTGATCAAGGCTGCAAATAAATAAATAAATGATTTTCTTCAGTGTTTTCAAAATGTCTTAAGTCAGTGTTTGCCAAAGTGGGTAGTACTGCAAAAGCAATACCTACACTTTATCCTGGATTACAGGCTATGGAACAGAAGTTTTGAATTTTCAGAGGGGTGCTGAGTGATTTTTTTTCTTTCCGGCAAAGGGGGCATAGGTCAAATAAGTTTGCGAACCTATCATCTAAATAAGCTAGACACTTCAAGATTGTATGGTTTATTAGAAGGGGACACGTGGATGCCAGATACCTTTCTTAGGGGCAGAGGGGTCATACTTACTCCCCAAGAGTAAGATGGAGAACAGGAGCAAGCTCTTAGGCCAGCTTCCTCTGGGTAGTGGCGGGTGCAATGTGTAGAGAAGGCTGCCTCAGCGTCACCACTCGGAGAGGCTTTGGGCTATGTTTTGTTTTTCTTTTCCCTTTTTTTTTCTGACTAG